AAATCTAAGATGGGCCATTTAGATTGTGATATTTATGACCCAGAGAAACGAACATAATTGGCGCTTGGTCTGGATACAGCATCCTTTAACCGTTGGATTAGACAGGACACAGAACACACTCATGTCAAGCAAGGAAGGAAAGGGAAAGTTGACGACTTTGATGTGGATGTCATTAGAAGTGAGATCTTAAAAATGCTAGAGACAAATCAACTTGTGACTCTCCGAAAACTGAAATTAACATTGCAATCACAATGCAGTATTGACATTTCAAAACTATTCTGTGGAAAATTGTGAAAGCCTCCGGGTTCACTTTCAGGAAAACTATCGGTAGAAGGAATATGATTTGTGAAAATCCACGTTTGATTTCTAGTCGAAACAAATATATGAGGCATATCCGTGAGCGACGGATTATGCTATCGTATATTTGGATGAATCCTAAGTATACTCACCATACCTATACTTAAGAATGGCAATTAGTAAACGGTAAACAGAAGAGAAACATTCCAAGACGCAAAGGCCAGCGCATTATATTCACTTATGCAGGAAGCAGTGATTACCACACTGAAATTAATAGACTCATTTTCAGGCACTGGATGGAGAATGATCTTCTTTCAATTCTGGACAGACCATCGTGCCTAAAAGTGAATAATGTCACCCATCACAATGCCGTATCAGAGGAAGACAAAGTACCAACGACATCAAATATAAAAGATCAAATTAGAACATAGCTTGCTAAGGAAAAAGTAAACTTTGGCGACACATATTTAGAGGCAGAGTTGTTGCAGCTTGTGAGGAAAATAAATAAGACAAAGGTGTATCACACTGACAAAATCATTAATTAATACGGTCACACATTTCTGCGACTCCCTGCATATAATTCACACCTCAACCCGATGGAGTTTGTTTGGGCTAAAGTCAAAAGACTAGTGCTCCGAGAGGAAGACAAGTACTGGCACCGAGATGGATTACAATTTGTTCAGCCAGTAATAATTATCAACCTTTTGGGATCATCATATTCGGAATGATTAAAACCATTTTTCGTTGAGTGATTGAATATCGTCAACCCGTTAGGAACATCTACAATTGCAACAAACAATCTCAATATCCAAATGAGTTAACCATAATGCAATTTGCTGTGCAGTTAAGATACACTCTGGGGTCTAATGGTGACTGCAGGGGAATAATAACTGTTTCATATTGGGGACATGTTTGCAATTGAACAAGTCAGACAGATTGGCTGGATCTGCACCACTGGGTGGTGAGTTGATACATGCCAAGGTAGATGTGATCAAGACCCTTTAGGAACAAGTAATGCGGTCAGAAAAGAAAATTACATTATCATGGCCTGGAGAGAGTGATACACATGGGTGTGACCAGAGGGCCTGGCCGGCACACTACACTCAGAGAAATGGCAAGATAGACATTTAATCAGACTGCTTCCGGTACCATTAGTTTTGAAACTCTGCGCTGGCTGCTTAAGATGGGGACGGAGCGCATATGTGAATGCCCCGAGTGGTGTGATGTCTTTCTTGACTCAGCTCAACTCAACTCAGTTGAACATAAACGAAAACAAACAAATGTACTTCACCTATCAATGTATTATGAAGACACGCCTCTGAAAAAAATGGAACCCAAAATTCAGATTTTTACTGTAAAATCTAAAAGTTCACTTCACTTATTTACAATTGTTCGAAAAGATCAAAGGGATTGGCTGGTATTCAGCATCCTTATCCTCTATGGGCTAAAGAATACCATTTTTTTTTGGGTCATGGATATGCTAAGGCTGCATGTCAAAAAAAAAAAAAAAATCGTTGCGATCTAACAGGCAGTTTTCGAGAAAACGGCTTGCAAATGTTTTTGAGATGTTGAACGAACTATAACAATAATTTACAGTGTTGTTTTGAGCATTTAAAACATAACTGAAATCGTGACAACGCTGAAAACAGACAAGCAAAACGATAACACGTAAAGACAAACAACGAGAATAGTTAGATAATAATAACACGGAAAAAGATAAAGAAAGAACATGCCTGGAGAAGAAATAACATTGCGCCAAACTGAGATATTTCGAGCAAGCAAAAAAAAAAAAAAAACATAACTTTTCTTATCGGCTAACAGAACTTGACTAAATTTTAAACTGTCTAATTTGCTAATTTTGGAGAGGGCGGGTGGGGGAGTGGGGGTGGGGCGCATGGCAAAGTAGCGGCTAGACGTTATCCTACCGGCACGAAAGTCTATGGTTCAAATCCGTATCTAGAAAGATTTATTTTGAACTTGACCTTAACTCCCAGGTCCGCCCAGCCTTAAATGAGTTAAATACAAGTAACATCCTGGGAAATAAAGGTGGTCGGCGTAACGGTGAACACACCATTTATAGAGTGCCGTTTTTTTTTCAATAAAAAAATAAGTCTTCATAAAAATGTTGCTCGATGTGCCAAAGATGTGAAAACCTTTACAAATATATTGCTCGATGTGCCAAAGATGTGAAAACCTTTACAAATATATTGCTCGATGTGCCAAAGATGTGAAAACCTTTACAAATATATTGCTCGATGTGCCAAAGATGTGAAAACCTTTACAAATATATAGCTAGATGTGCCAAAAATATGAAAACCTTTACAAATATATTGCTCGATGTGCCAAAGATGTGAAAACCTTTACAGATATATTGCTCGATGTGCCAAAGATGTGAAAACCTTTACAAATATATTGCTCGATGTGCCAAAGATATGAAAATGACATTTGACTTGACTCTACTTTTGTATCGTTTGTTTGTGTTCACGAGCTGCAAATCCCCGCGGAAAGACCTGGTTGTTCGTCCATTTCTGGACTTTGGCTTTGTTCCACCACCTGAGTTTTGCGTGTGGATCCGTTTAACAGATTTTGCTTATTTGTATGCAGACTTGGTTTCTTTCCTCTCAGGCAGTTGTACTCTTGACTTTCAATGAAGCCCACAATCAGTCGGCTCATGATATACTTGTTGGGGAGGCAGATGGGTCTATTTTCCCACAATGAGACCCTGGAGCAGAACGGGGATACCTTCCGTCATGTGTTGGGGCTGGGGGAGGGGTGGAGGGCTCTTAACCCTGTTGCAACTTTTACTAAGGAAGGTGGTGTGGATAATCCCCCCTTGAGACTGTATTGTTCCAGCGTCCCCGGTACTGTTCATTGCTCCCACACGGCAGCCCGCTAATACGCTGGCGATGTAGACATGTGATAATGAATGTGATGTCGAGTGAGAGGGCAGTCATTTCATCTCGTATGATACATTCCGAATTATCTTTTACATGTTAATCACACATTCATGGATCTATAGGTCCCACTTCTCACATTTTATAGTTCCGGGTCTCAGTTCTAACGGTTTATATTTCCGTGTCAGTTCTAACTATTTACATTCCTGGGTCTCAGTTATAGCTATTTATATTTCTGGGTCTTAGTTCAAACTATTTATATTTCTGGGTCTCAGCTCTAACTATTTATATTTCTAGGTCTAAGTTCTAACTATTTATATTTCTGGATCTCAGTTCTAACTATTTATATTTCAGGGTCTCAGTTCTAACTATTTGTATTTCTGGGTCTCAGTTCTAACTATTTATATTTCTGGGTCTCAATTCTAAATATTTATATTTCTGGGTCTCAATTATCAATATTTATATTTCTGGGTCTCATTTCTAAATATTTATATTTCAGGGTTTCAGTTCTAACTATTTATATTTCTGAATCTCAGTTCTAACTAGTTATATTTCTGGGTTTCAGTTCTAACTATTTATATTTCTGCGTCTCTGGTCAACCTATTTATAATTCTGGGTCTCAGTTCTATTTATATTTCTGGGTCTCAGTTCTAACTATTTATATTTCTGGGTCTCAGTTCTATTTATATTTCTGGGTCTCAGTTCTAACTATTTATATTTCTAGGTCTCAGTTCTAACTATTTATATTTCTGGGTCTCAGTTCTAACTATTTATATTTCTGGGTCTCAGTTCTAACTATTTATATTTTTGGGTCTCACTTCTAACTATTTATATTTCTGGGTCTAAATTATAAATATTTATATTTCTGGGTCTTAGTTCTAACTATTTATATTTCTGGATCTCAGTTCTAACTATTTATATTTCAGGGTCTCAGTTCTGACTATTTGTATTTCTGGGTCTCAGTTCTAACTATTTATATATCTGGGTCTCAATTCTAAATATTTATATTTCTGGGTCTCAATTCTCAATATTTATATTTCTGGGTCTCAATTCTCAATATTTATATTTCAGGGTTTCAGTTCTAACTATTTATATTTCTGAATCTCAGTTCTAACTAGTTATATTTCTGGGTCTCAGTTCTAACTATTTATATTTCTGGGTCTCTGGTCAAACTATTTATATTTTGGGGTCTCAGTTCTATTTATATTTCTGGGTCTCAGTTCTAACTATTTATATTTCTGGGTCTCAGTTCTATTTATATTTCTGGGTCTCAGGTCTAACTATTTATATTTCTGGGTCTCAATTCTAAATATTTATATTTCTGGGTCTCAATTCTAACTATTTATATTTCCGGGTCTCAGTTATAGCTATTTATATTTCTGGGTCTCAGTTCTAACTATTTATATTTCTGGGTCTCAGTTCTAACTATTTATATTTCTGGGTCTCAGTTCTAACTATTTATATTTCTGGGTCTCAGTTCTAAATATTTATATTTCTGGGTCTCACTTCTAAATATTTATATTTGTGGGTCTTAGTTCTAAATATTTATATTTCTGGGTCTCACTTCTAAATATTTATATTTCACTGTCTTAGTTCTAACTATATACATTTCTGGGTCTCAGTTCTAACTATTTATATTTCTGGGTCTCAGTTTTAACTATTTATATTTTTGGGTCTCACTTCTAACTATTTATATTTCTGGGTCTCATTTCTATATATTTGTTTTTCTGGGTCTCACTTCTAACTATTTATATTTCTGGGTCTCAATTATAACTACTTAAATCTCTAGGATTTTTATTCTCGTTGCAGATGGTGACCAGGAAATGGCTGGTGGGCCGAATCCATTACTTGGCGTTGGTGATAGTGACAGCTTTGCTCCTACTACAGCCTCTGAGACTTGTCTTGATGGATCTGGTGCTTCCAACAGCCTGGGCGGACACGGACAAAGTCCACCTGTATCGTGTGATTAACGACTACCAACATTTTGACGTGGACGCACACCCATTACAGAGAGATGTTGTCTGGGAGAAAGTTCAGGTTATCCGGCTGCTTTATCCTTTGGTTATTTTCGTAATTGCCGTTGTTGTTGTTGTTCTTCTTCTTCTTCTTTTCCTTTCCCCTTCTCCTCTTCCTTTTCTTCTTCTTCTTCTTTTTCTTCTTCTTCTTCTTTGTCTCCTCCTTCTTCTTCTTCTTCTTTTTCTTCTTCTTCTTCTTCTTCTTCTTCTTCTTCTTCTTCTTCTTATTTTTCTTCTTCTTCTTCTTCTTCTTCTTCTTCTTCTTCTTCTTCTTCTTCTTCTTCTTCTTCTTCTTCTTCTTCTTCTTCTTCTTCTTCTTCTTCTTCTTCTTCTTCTTCTTCTTCTTCTTCTTCTTCTTCTTCTTCTTCTTCTTCTTCTTCTTCTTCTTTTCTTCTTCTTTTCTTCTCTTCTTCTTCTTCTTCTTCTTCTTCTTCTTCTTCTTCTTCTTCTTCTTCTTCTTCTTCTTCTTCTTCTTCTTCTTCTTCTTCTTCTTCTTCTTCTTCTTCTTCCTCTTCTTCTTCTTCTTCTTCTGCTACTACTACTACTACAACAACAGCAACAACAACAACTACTGCTACTACTACTACTACTACTACTACTACTATTACTACTACTACTACTACTACTACTACTACTACTACTACTACTACTACTACTACTACTACTACTACTACTACTACTACTACTACTACTACTACTACTACAACTACTACTACAACTACTACTACTACTACTCTCTCTCGCTTCTTCTTCTTCTTCGTCTTCTTTTTCTTCTTCTGGTACGACTGAAACAGTGAGTGAACGTAGGAACTGGATGGATTACAAATGGCAAAGAACTGTACATGAGGTAAGTAAAGTTATCAAACAAATTGCGTGGTGAGTCGCCTGGTAATGAATGAGTTAAAATACGCTTGAGCGGAAATATATATAATGTGTCAGAAACGGTAATAATGAACCATCATGAAAAAGATGATTATTAGGTAATTTATTTATTTTTTACTTTCTCTAGGTTAATCTAAGCCATTTCCAAAGCTATCTGTATAGCAGGCGACAAGCCTACCGGGAATTCCACAACTACCTCGGCCTACTGAAGTCTCTACCCAAAGGAGATGAAGAAATCCAGAAAAAGATGGAGCTGATCTCCAAATTCCAGCCAGTCATGACCCCGAGAGAAGCAGCCCAACTCTTATTCTCCTTTGAGACCTTCACCAACGCCTGTGCACAGGCGGGTCTGATCTATTTTATTCTAGAAGCTTCGCTGATGGGGTCAGTGCGCCACCATGGATTCATTCCTTGGGATGACGATATAGATATTGTTATGAACGCTAAACAATGGCCACGAATTCGAAACGTACTAGGGAATATTGAAGGGTTTGAACTATATGCTCCATCAAAAACCCAGTGGAAGTTTTATATGAAGTCTGCGAAGGCGTTTCCTGATAAACCCTTTAAATTCCCTAACATTGACATATTTTTCTACGAAGAAGACGACACGCATATATGGGCCTTAACTCGAGGTCTTAAACATGACTTAGTCTATTTAAAATCAGATGTATTTCCGCTGCAGATTCGTCCCTTTGAGAATCTGATGGTTCCTGTTCCCTGTAATCTGGACATAGTAGTTCATAAATCTCACAACAAGGATATGTGTGTTACACCAGAATATAACCACAAGACCAACGAGAACTTCTACTTCATGGGAGGCACTTCCGTTCATTGTAAGCTACTCTACGACTTGTACCCTTTCGTGTTTACTGAAAAATCGGAACTTCCCGGGTTCCAAGTCGAGTTTCTCAAAATCGGGAACAAAGTGATCCACAAAAAGATAGTTCCTGTAGGATGTAAATCAACTACTACCCCGGCGACGTGAGAATAGACTGTAGCCCATTGTGGAGGAATTTCCTTTCACTGAAAGATTTAACTCTTCAGAATTTCTACCACCATAACCAATTGGCAGGTGGTTCAGTCCAGTTTGCAGTCTGACTTAGGAAATGTGTGCTTTGTCGGTTTGTCCCCAACAACAATGAATTGTGTTTACCTGTTAGACTAGCTACTCCTGGCAATATTGTCAGTCTTTCGAGTTTGGCAAGGCTTGTCAAGGACATAAGTAACTATGATAAACGGAGGCTGCAATAATACCTTCTTTTAACTAGATATAACCAATACAGTTGTTCGGATGAATTGGCTGGAAAGGGGAAAAGATTGTGGGGGAGAGGGTGAGGGGTGGTGGGGGTAAGCATAAACAAGTCATCATCTTTATCATAAACCACCTCTGCCACTAAGGGCCGTGGGGAGGAATAATTTTCCTTCCTTTGCAGGCTGGCTGGCACCGGCTATTGTCATACCGTAAAGGCGTAAAGTGCATTTAATTCTGTCGATCCAGAGGTTATGACAGAAAGACAACTTATCACACACCTCAGAAAAAAAAGAAAGTCGTCATTCTCCTCGTTCTACTAGGGGTTGGGAGTCACGGTGACGTAGTAGTTAGAATACTCACCTGTCTGCACGTTGAACTTAGAAACCGCACTGAGTTGGGCTTTTTTTTTTTTAAACAAAATAAACCTTGGCTTCAAGGGCGATCCAGCCTACAGCAGTGCTGGCTAATTTCCTGGAAGGTGAAGGCCGTTTTTACTGTTTACCTTTTGTTTATAATAACAGATTTTTTAAAACTAGGACATGTGAATTATTTTTTTTTTTCTTCTTCGCGTTCACCGGTTGTAAACTCCGGCTAAAGTTCTGGTTGTTCGTTCACTTCTGGAAATTAGTTTCGTTCCTGAACGATTTACAGATCTGGCTTATTCGTGTGCAGACTATTTGTTCCGTGCCCTCAGGCAGATGTACTCCGACTTGGGAGGAAATTCCTCCAGTTAGTCGACTTCTACGACATGCTTGTTATGACGGGCAATAGGTCTATTCTTGTTTCCCCCACAATAGAGCACCGGAACCCAGATGTGAGATGTTGTGACAACTTTCAAGGTTTACAGTAAGAGAGATTTTTAAAGTTAGTTGCGTATCCTTTACAGCAGAACCAACCCTAAAATTTTTTGGCTGTCCTGGTTTTTTTAGGCAAATTTAGTAGTTTGCCATTTCCCACTGAACGGTCGGCTTCTCGATACCACTGTTGAAACCAACGCAAGGCGCACGGTGCAAGACCCGTAGCTGGGATCCAACTCGGAACCCCGGCATTACGAAGCTCGTTCGCAACGCCTAAGCAACAGACGCCGACATAGTAAGAGAGACACCCAGGTAAATATTTGAAGGGGGGGGGGAAAAAAAACTCCGGCTCTGTCAGTACCTGAACCTTGAATTCGCAGACAGGCGTCTATCCGTTAAACCACTGTGGTTCCCTACTGACTGGTCCAAGTTCAACCTCACTAGGATCGCAACGACGAGCGACAAATATACGGTGACATCACCCGGGTGCAAGTCACAGAAACCCGAATGTTATATTTAGATTCCTGACGACAGCCAGGATGGAGGCTATTGAGTCCAACATTGAGACGGAAATTATTATGGTGGCTTCCAATGAGAACTTTGATCAAATATTAATTGTGTTTAGAAAATGTTAATTATATATATATATATATATATATATATATATATATATATATATATATATATATATATATAATATATATATATATATATATATATATTTTTTTTTTTTTAAAGGAATAGCCTGCAATTATGTTATTATTTATTATATTATTAAATGTTAATAAATGTGTTCCTTTAATAATATTGCTCACGAGGATAATGCTGTCATTTACACGGATGGCTCTGTAATCCGCCATGTTAGAAGCTCGTGGGCTTTCACGGCTCAGGTTGGAGGAAGAGTTGTGAGTTTTTGCCGTAACTACAAGTCGTCTGACTATGGAGGTCATGGCTGTGACTAAAGCAGTAACATGGCTAGAAACACAGACTTTCACCGAATCATGCTTTCTCGGTGACTTGTAATGTCCAAATGGCCCTTGGCAGATATAATAAGGTTTTAAACAGCTGTAGAAGATATATGTTCGTAAGACACAGTATTCATTTGGCAGCATCTGTGCAGCCTATGCTATATGTGTTTTTGTATTATTGTTGAGCAGTTGTCCCTTTGATTATATGACAAGATCCCTCCCTCCCCCCCCCCCCCCCCCCCCCCACCAACCCCAACATAACAAGATCCGATTAAAAAGATGGCACACACAAAATCCCAAGCACTGTTATAAGAAGTTGGAACAAAGGAGAAAGAGGGGGTGGGGGGGGGGGGGGGGGGTCATCCATATGTATCAAGGTACAAAGTAACAAAAGAAACAATCACCAACAGCTTTTATTTTGTGTTAAAAAAAAACAAAATAACAAAATAACAATGTGATAGTCGACGCTGATTTGTCTTAATGAGATGTGCTATTTTGTGTGTGTCTAATGTTGGATAAGGCACAACGTAGACCAGTCTTCACATCAAGCTAGCAACGTTGTTTTGTTTTCTTGGCCGTTAAACCTAAAAATCCGGATTATTACAAGTATAAATGTACTCAATTTCAAAACTGCATGACCCCCTCCCCCGTCATGGGTTCGTTTCGCAGGGCGGGTGGTTCACTTATTCAGTGCCATAATACGAAGATCTGAACGAATCGTCGCTGTAGCTATAGAGTTCGTGCTTTGTGTGACTCTCTCCGCAGGAGGCTAGCTGTTTCGCATAGACAGCCCGAACCATATGGGATAAGAACCCAGCGCAATGCAGAGAAGTCTCGCTAGGTCTTTATGACTATTTAATACAGTAATTCCCCACGATGTGTCTATGGTTGAAGCAGCCAGAAGAGCACGAAGCACGACCTTATATCTCCCTCGACACTCGAAGCGGTAAAAGATGACTTGAATAAGAAGAAGAATTCGTCACTGTGAACAGGGGATATTTTACGATGATTTACTTGACGTTAAAATCCATATTCTTTTCAGTAATTCCCTTCAGATCTGTAAGTTTTACGTAGGTAACGTCTTTTCTGTAGTAGCTTCGGATCCAAATAGACAGAAGGGAGAAAATGGGGGAGGGACAAGATGAAGAGGGGGGGGGAGAGGGGGGAGGGGTTCTACAACTACACCTTAACACACACGTAAAAGCCGACTAAATAAGGGGGTTAGTTAAAATCGACGTGCGGATCCTAAAGGCGCGGATATAGCAGCCTAGCTGTAAACCACAATACAACGTGCCACCCAAAGTTTTATATGCGAAAGCAGAAGAATATTCTATACCTTCTTGATTTATCATGCCTTCGTATTTTCACTATACCTATGCATTATAATCGTAATATTTATTTTAACTAAACCTATGATTTGACATGAACTCTGTTTTATATATTTATATTGCTTAATGGTATAATTTTCGCAGCCACACATACTGGACTACATGTTATACATATAATAAAAACAAATAGACAATGTATGTTTATTTATATGGACTACATGTTATTTTGTAACCGAATTTTGGTGCCCCAGTATAACTGAGCTATGGTGCAGTTCAAAAGTCGTGCCATCATACACTAACAATATTCCAGAAACACGATAATGTATCAACACGAAATTTTTTCTTCTGGTCTTTAATTTCCCATGTCCTTTTCTGATTTTATCATTTTAAATTTCATAAGCACCGTTGTTTTCTTACATCTTTGCAACAAAAAAGTAAAGATCCCTTTTCACGCCTTTAGGCGCATTAGGCATATAGGAAGAGCACTCATATTTGTACAGACCGATCAGTACTAGGTGAGTAATGTGGTCAGCATTACGCCGGCCGTCTTTACTTCCCCAGGACAGCCATCTTGGTACCCATTTTAGACTGGGTCGACCTGCGACGCCCCATACCATGATAAAAACCACGCAGCCAGCAGTGGGTTTTGATCGCGGTACGTTGGAATTACGAGTCGGACTCGCAACGCCTAAGCCACTGACGCCACCTTACATCTTTGTATTGCTAATATTGTCTTCCCTTAACAAACAAAAAAAAAGTTGACATTTATAAACTTATTGACACTCGTGTGCAGAAGTTTGGAAATCAGTTCACGTATGCAGCGATGCGTGATGAATTTTTAATAGCCTATCCCACATACAATGAAAAATCTGAGAGATGCCAAAGCTGGAGATGATCACTTGAAAATTAAACACACATAAAACACGTGTAATCTGATGATTTGAAAATTTCCCGTTACTCAGTTAACTGTAAGCATGCTGACTGATTTGAATGGGGTTGTTTTTCTATGCACTACTAATAAGGCAAAAATAAAACCGATGGTTGACAACATTAAAAAAAAAAAATAATACAAGGTCATGATTATTAACAGGTTGCCTGTACCAATGAGATCATGACAAGATTTGGTATTACAACAACGTCGATGTTCCAGC